TGCCTCATACGAGCCCGCAGCACAAGGACGCAGCTGGAGGGGCTGCAGCTCAGCCCGGGGCAGCAGAGCCAGCATGGGCAGCACAGGGTTCGCAGGGGCACAGGGAAGGACCCTGCGCCTCGCTGCTTTAACAACCTCGCTGCATTAACGACCTCGCTGCATTAACGACCTCACTCAGAGGAACGTGGGAGTCGGGCTTAATAGCAAAGAAAGCAGCAGAGAGCTGCAGAGCAGCAGAAATAAATCAGGATGGAAATAAAGCAGAGGCAGCGCGGACGCTACCGAGTGGCGCATTCCTCAGCGCGGTGGTGGAGCCAGGGAACAGGGAAGGAAGAGCGAGGCTGGTGCTGGGGGAGGCAGCTGATGCCCACGGGGTGCCCGCAGCCCCAGGCAGGAGGACAGAGCCCAGGGGCTGCCCCACTGCAAGAGGCCCTGGGCCCATTCTGGGAGTGGGTCTGAGCTCTGCTGGTGGGTTAAACCCCGTTCTGCCAAGGCCTGGGCCTGGGGAGCAGCAGCGAAGGGCCGGCCAGCCCTGCAGCGTGGGCCGCAGCAGCAGTGAGAGGATGGGTCGAGTCTGCTGAGCCGGGCGAGCCGGCTCCGCACCGGCCGCGCTCCCTCCAAGCCACCGGCTTGCGCTGTGTGGCTCACGCTGGGGACGCTCGGAGCTGCTGTGCCGGCGTGAGGCAGTGATTCATGCTCTGCCAGCCCCTCTGCCAGACGCACCGTTCCCGGGCGGTTGGGAAGCGTTTCACCCAGCGCCGCAGGTGAGGGGACCCACGCACGGGCACCCTCCGGTGCCGGCGCAGCACGAGCAGCAGGAGCGGGATGAAATGCTTCCCAATCTGGCAGCAGGGACATTCCGACTGTGCAAAGGTGGCTATAGGGGAGTGGTGGGGGCTGCGGTGCCCAGAGCCATATGGGGGGAAACCAAGGGATGGGGGCCAGCCCCACTTCCCAGCACAGGGAGCACGCGGGGCAGCCGCGTGGGCCGAGCCGTGCCGTGCTGGGCAGCGCTGGGCACAGGAGGGCTCTGGGCTCTGCTGCCAGCCCGGAGGGCCTTCCCGCCCGAGGCTGCTGCCAGCTCGGAGCCCCGCGCTGCTCCACAGCCCAGCTGCGTTTGAGACGCGCTGCACGGAGCTCGCATTACGTAACACCCTGCACGCGCGGCCGACGCTCGCTACGCTTGAAACCGCCACTAGGCTCTAGGGAAAGCACCAAAATTCAGTAAACACCATGCACGCAGGAACTCCATCCTGGCCAGCAGCAGGGCGTCCCAGCCCCGCAGCGCGGCAGCATCGCTGCGGGACGGCGCAGAGCCAGGGCTGGCCAGAGGCCTCATGCGGGCGCCCAGGGAGCTGGCAGGGGTCGGTGCCGCAGGATGCTGTGGGGTGCCATGGGGCCAGGCACGCACTGCTTGCTGTGATGCCAGGCTGCACCACGCTCCCAGGGGGGGCTCCACACAGCGCATGTGGGAATGTGGGAGCTGCCAGGTGCCAGCGCCATGCACGGTGCATGGTGCATGGTGCACGGTGCATGGTGCGCGGTACCGGGCCGCCGACATCACCGGACTGGTTTCCATGGCAACGGCTGGCGGGCGCCAGGCGGACATGCAGCCCAGCTCTGGCTCTCATGGC